TATTTTTACTTGATCCGAATTGCTTACGTTCAATTACTCATTTCTAAAAAAAATATGTTTGAAATGAAAATTTGCCACCATTACATCATTTAATATTTAAATATTCCAATCATAAACATATTTCAAAATTACTTACTACCAAAAATATCGCTTATAAAAGTGAATCGTTTAAAATGCTCGATGGTGCTATAGGTATCTAGTTATAGTATGGTGTAGTATAGCCCTATCGGTGTATCAATGTGATCGCGCGGTGTCGGTGAAAAAAAGGAATACGCCCTATCGTTGGGATTACCCGGAGCGTACTGAATCGAACGGCGTCTGCGCATGATGTTTTATAGTATTTTTAAAATAATTATATAAAATAATTGACAAAATAAAACGAGCTAAATTTTTTTTTTGGATATTTAACATTACATGTATTTTGATAAAATAATTAAAATAGATATGTTTATAAGCAAATACATGGAAAAAATTACATTGAAGTAGACAGTTTTGGTGATTTTATAATATTATTTTATAATATTAAATCGAAATATTATCGTAATTTAGGTTTTGCTATACCCTAAAAGACTATATATTTCATTATAATAACGCTATGTATTTTAGATAATAATGGTTGTATTCAACCTGAAAGATAACTCTGATGCATATTTTCGTAAAACACAGTGAAGGGATTGTCTTCGCCCTGAAAAACCGTCATTAAAAACTATTATTTTGCACTGCTATGTACTAAATAAATACTTCATATTTCTAAAGCCCTAATTTTCAGCAAATAATCTCCTCACGTCGGTCGTTACGATATCGCCTTTGGAAAAACCATAAAACATGTAGTTTTCGACGCGAAACGCATATGCCCTCTTAATTGTAACAATTATACCAATAGAATTAATTTAATAGATATTAATAATTTAATTAAGAAATTTTTGACTACAGATAGGTATTACCTATCCAAATATAATTTAAGACATATAGCAAATGTGCTATCTTATTATTTATATATTAACTCGGCCAAGGACTTGGCTACCCAGACATCTGCTCCTATTGAGCAGTATAATGATTTGACATGCAATTTGGAATCCGTTCCAAGTAATTTAAATTATAAAATGAGACAATAGAGGTAATGTAGCTTACAAATCCTTAATAGTTGCAATTGTATAACTCCACAAAATGATAATAAAAATTGTTTACACCTGGTGCATCAGAATATACAAGGCATGATAGGCAAAGAGCTAGAAATTGAATTGTTCTTAAATAGCAAAAATATTCATATTTTATGTATTACTGAACGTTGGTTATAGCTCATAATTTAATGTTTAACTTCAGTAATCAGCAGGTGGTCAGTTCTTTCAATAGAGAAACAATTTTAAGAGGTGACTCCTTAATTTTAGCTACTAAATTATTATCACGTAAAGAACGTAAAGATATTGTGAGCCTCTCTGTTGAGCGAACTGTAGAAATGCCATGTGTTGAGTTTGAGCACCTCATTGTTGTGAGCATTTACAGACCACCATGTTCTTTATATGATACTTTTGAAAAAATTATGGAGGAGTTTTCGCTAAGCTTAATAAACAGAATAAATCTGTTGTAATATGTGAAGACTTTAATATCAATCTCCTAGAAGCTTCCTCCACCAATATTAAATTAAGATCATTGTTTAAATCTTATGGTATTTTTAATTTATTTTTGGAGTCAACGCGTATTGTTGAATCTAGTGCAACATGTTTACATTACAAATTATAAATGTATAATTCAAAAATTGAGCTCTGATCACTGTGGACAATTAGTTTCATTACCTTATGTTCACAAAAAGCAAGTAGATAAAAAAGTTGTGTTTGTTCCAGTAAATGCACATCGCTTGGAGAAGTTTAGAATTAACACAGTAAAAAAAACTTCTATTTCTTTCATACCAAAATAATCCAAATTTTTTTGTATGGAATATTATTTAAGCTCATTTGCAATGAATTTAATAATACTTTTACTTCTAAAACATTCTCCTTGAACAATCGCAAGGCATTTAATGAATGGGCGACAGTAGGAGTCCATAAGAGTAGACAAAGGTTATATGGACTTTACAATGAAAGGTCATAATATAATCCTAGCGTCGAATTTAGGGAATATGTAAAAAAATATTCCAAAATATTTAAAAGAGTGTGCTCCTTAGCGAATTCATGTATTTGAGCAACAAAATAAAGACTGCTTCTAATAAAATTAAAATGACATGGAGTATAATTAATAGTGAAACTGTAAGGTCAACTTTCGCAATTCAAACTACCAGTTTTAACAATAAATTAACTAAATCAGATCAGGACGTTGCAATGGTTTTTGAGAAATATTTTACTGATATTCCGATCTTAACCACTAAGTCACTGAATTCTTCTCCTGCCGTCGCCGAATCATTACTTAAACAAAATGTAAATGTGTGTACAAAGAATTTTGTATTTCATAAAGTGTCATCAAAAGATATTGTAAAATTTTTTAGGACTATTGATTTTAAGAAAACCGCCGATCTGTGGGGGATTTCTGTTAAAGTTATTGCGTCTATAATAGATACAATCGCACCTCAACTATTATTTTTAATACTAGTATCGAATCTGGTGTGTTTCCTGATTTAATGAAGCATATTAAAGTAATACCTTTATTTAAATCTGGTAGTACATTGGACCCCGCTAAAAGATTTGAAAAAATTATTCTTGGTCAAAAGTTAATTTTTTTAATGTTAATAATTTACTTCATAAAAATCAATTTGGTTTCACAAGGGGTCGCTCGACAACTGATGCTGGTGTTGAGCTGATTAAATATATATTTAATGAATGGGAGAATTCACAGGATGCTTTGGGTGTGTTCTGTGACCTATCCAAAGCCTTCGATTGTGTTCACCATGAAACATTAATCAGGAAACTTCAACACTACGGTGTAAGAAGCGATGCTCTTAAATTAATTATTTCATACTTAAGTGACAGAACGCAAAAAGTTGTTATTAATAGTATGAGTTCTTCCGGGTCGATTGTACAAATGGGCGTGCCTCAGGGCTCAATTCTCGGCCCCTTTCTGTTTCTTGTATATATTACTGACTTACCTTACATAGTAGGGGATAACCATGATATAGTATTATTTGCTGATGATACTTTATTAATTTTCAAATTAAAACGACAGTTATTAAATTACGACGATTAAAATAATGCTATAGCTAAGTTAGTTAATTGGTTTAATGTTAATAATTTGCATTTGAATGGTTCTAAAACTAAATGTATGAAATTCGTAACTTCTAATGTTAAACATGTCAATACTAATGTAATTTTAAATGGGAAGGAACTGAGTCTTGTTGATACTACCATTTTTCTTGGAATCACACTGGACGCAAAGCTTCAATGGCTCCCCCATATATCAAAAGTAGCTAGCAGACTTAGTTCTTCAGCATGTGCTGTAAAAAAGATTAGAACTCTTACCATTGTTGAAACAGCTAGGATAGTTTACTTCAGTTATTTCCATAGCATTATGTCGTATGGTATTTTGCTATGGGGACACGCGACTGACACTGAAATTATATTTATTTTACAGAAGAGGGCCATTAGAGCAATATATAATTTAAAACCAAAAGAGTCACTGAGACAAAAATTTAAGGAAATTAATATATTAACTCTGGCCTCTCAATACATTTATGAAAATGTAATGTTATGTACATTAACATAAAACACAAATTCAAAACACAAAACACAAAAATAAAAGTAGTTTTGCGAAAATAAGTGATATTCATTCTGTAAATACTAGGAACAGATACAAGCTAGTAGTACTAGTTACTCGACTCCACCGAGTCAATTATTCATTCTTGGGGCGATGTATACGCTTTTACAACATAATCCCAGAAAATATACAAAATGTGCCATACAAAAAGTTCAAAAATGTTATTAAACTAAGTTTGTATAAAAAGGGTTATTATAATATTAAGGAATTTATGGATGATAATAACCCCTGGGAAGGGTGATCGCTACCAAGCTATTTCTAATTTGTCTTGTGTTGCTAATTGTAAACATGATTGTAAGCTATTATTGGAAAAAAATAGTCCCGCTGGGTTTCTTGCTGGTTCTTCCCAGGACAGAGGTTTTTTTTTGCGAACCAGTGGTAAATGAAAAAAGTGACTTTCAATAAGTATTGTTATAATCTACATTGAATAAAAAAAGTTTCTGTTTCTATGCATTCAGTACCATTATAATATAATAAGCCACACATTACGGTAAATGTTGTGTATACCTGTAATTGGCAAATATATTTAACCATATACATTTATTATCGTGTTGTTGTTAATGTTTCATGTGTTTTGCTGTTGGTATATATATATATAAATAAATAGTTTGTTTCCAATTAAATTAGACAGAATAATTCTGTTCCTAATGTATAATTATATTTAGTAGTTATTGTGAAGCACTGCTGTCCACTTCCTGGTAAGTTTCTCCTTATCGCCTGTTCAGACACCTCCGGGATGATATGGAGCAGTGGGTATTCTTACACCGCCACTGCACGGCTTGTGATATTACCTAATCCATACAAAAGGGTCAAATAGTTAAACTTTAAAAAAAATCAGCTTTATAAACTGAAAACAATAAAAGAATTTTTGCTTAGCTTTGATCTTCGATTAGAATTTTCTACCACATTGTGGAGGCAGTTTATATACATAAATTGCAAAAGACAACTTCATCATCATCATGATTACAGCACTTCACAAGTCCACTGCTGAGCATAGGCCTCCCCCAAGGAATTTCCTGCATATCTTCAGGTTGTCATTCTATTAACTCAAGAACCTCTCTTCCCTATCGGTTGTCGGTTCTTCGAGTTATACGGCCGGCTCTTTGCCACTTGAGTTTACTAATCCGTTGGGTTATGTGGATCTGGAACTACTGTGAATATCATTTCTAAGTTTATCACGCAGAGTAACCCAAAACTCGCTTATGAAATTTTAAATTCTCTAAACATGCAAGACTCAAAAGAAAATGTATCTTTTCCAGGTGGTTGATTATCATTACAAATGTCGCATTTGTCAGCAACAGTTTCCCAACATCAAGGAAATGAGGAGGCATGTGCTCACACACCGCGGTAAGTTAATATTCATTGGTGTGTTATTTTACATTACTTTCTCATTTTACATACATACATACAACCAATCATAGTACATAAACTCTCACACTTGTCACCCACAGGAATAGGCGCAGACTACAGACTTCCATTTGACACGATCCTAATACACCTCTCTGGCTTCTTTTACATGCATATATCTATGCATACATGCTTGTCACTCAAGGATTCACTTAATTTAGCCCGTCGTATACATGCTACAGCTATATTGTGGTTGCAGCACGAATGGGTCGGTTCGACCGGGGAAGGATCACACTCTCACAGAATACCAGTGTGAAATTGCAGCTTAATTTTGCTGTGTGGTGTATGGTGAGTGTGGAGAACTGGAGACTCTTTATGGAAATGAAGTTTTCCACCTTAGTTTTCAGGGGTGATAACGCATTTGCATCTTGATTCTCGACCGAGGATAGATATAGATTTATATGGGCCACAATATCCACTCACCATCTGGTGGACTGTGTTCGTTTGCCACCCTTATTCTATAATACAAAATCTATATATTGTCAACTTGGTCCTTAAACTTCCGCCTGGAGCGCCCCTTGCTAGCACTTCCAGTCACTTCTGCATTATGAATATAATTTGTCACACTTTCCTTATTTTTTTTGTGTTGTTTTTCTTTTTTGTGACTAGGATAGTAGGATAGTCAGAAATTGTGCTTGCAAAGCACATTTGTCTCTTATCACACAATTCCTTACCCTATAATTCAGAATCACCCCTAACATTCTTAATGACCGCATTTCTACAGCACTAACTTTACTTTCATGCGTCTTCTGCCCCACATAACCTTCACTACCATATACAAAGGTACTTGGTACATGTTTGAAGACAACAATCGATTTATTCAATTTAATCGATAATTTCAAGTAGGTCACTGCACTATGAAGCTTAGATTAACGGCTGTCAAATGTGACCTATCAAAGTGGTAGGTTTTTTTGACTCATTCTGACTTCCCACGATTGACAATAGAGCCCCATTTACTTTGTCCTGCATTCACTTGTTGTTCTATATCCTTATCATTTCCACCATCCCTGCCAAAATACACATCCTATATATACAAACTCGTCCACTTATTTAACCAACTCCTCTTTTATTATTATTAGCTTACGTGAGGGTAATACCCTAAATAATTAAATATAGTCATCCGGTGAATATCTTAGAACATTATTACTCCTAGTGGAGGTTCATATCATCCCTTCCTTATAACTTAAAACTACAGCCTTGTTTGTATAGATGACTGCGATACGATAGCTCTTCATCAGTCAATGAAATAATAAAAGTACCTCAGCCCTCCATAAATAAAAGGTCAAAAGAACTTATTTATCGATGCCATTTTGACAGTTGACATTAAAGTAAGTGAGGTCATTAATTATTCCTAATTATTGCCAAAGTTTGTTTGCTGATTTTTTATTATATTAGTTGTAGTGTACGACTTTGTGTTTTTTTCTCTGCCCTCCTCCTAGTTTTGGTTTTTTAAGGCGGCAAACTTAAAGTGACCATATTATCCGGACGTATCTTACATCATAGCTTGCGTTTACGTTGATAGCGCCATGTCATAGTCAGTAAAAGATTTATTTTCCCCACTAATTTACACATTGTATTAAAACATTACTGACATGTATCATTTATACCAAAGTCTAAATCACGCTATCAAAGTTTTGAAATACTGCGATACATATACAGAATAAATCTTAAAAAATAAGTGTAGCGATTCAAATTATAGTAATTTAATAAAACTAGAAGCGAAATGGAATAAATAATACTGAACCAAGTTGATAGCGCAGAAGAAACTTCCCTCGTTTCGTTACCTAATAATTTGTCAGAGTGTTTCATCTATGCCCTCATGGAGGTTAGAGAGAAGGAGAACGATCGCTGTAGAAAATTGTGTTCCAGAAATATGGACAGAATAAATGAGGCGCTGCGATCGCTAAGTTGTCTCTATAAAAGTCATTTTCTCGATCAGATGCTAAACCACTTGCACATCCACGCACGATATAATATTTCACCATTTTTTAATTTTTCTTTTTGTTAAAAATTAAAATAAACTACAGAGCACGATTATTTTCTCACTAATGCCGCGAAGAAAATTTGTACATTATTCAATTAACTTCATCTACTTAAACAGCTAACTTCGCTGATACTACTTACCGACGGCAGTTCAGGGACTGGCCGGTTATGCTTTAGTACGTAGCGATCGTTCTCCTTTTCTCTAACCTCCATGTATGCCCTATATAGTATATTATCTATGCCTTAGACACATCGTTTTACTTTCTTCTCTTTCAAAACCTTTCATTTTATTCAACTGAAAAAAATCTAAATTCCTTTTACATCCACAGGTACGGAGCCATTTGTCTGCGACATAGGGAGCCATCCGGCCACTTAGTTTTTACTGTATATTTTTTATAATAAAAAATATTCTCTCATTATGATGTAGTTTTATTTTTGTAGTGAAAACTTCTTTAGACACGATGGCACAGAATAAATAATAGTATAAAGTAACATTCGATAAATAATATTACTAAGTTAACTTATGGGATGGGGAAAAAGCACTTAACTCGCGTGACCATCACGCTCTGATACGTATTATGCATACCGGGTTATTTTTAAAGAGTAGCCAAATGTTAAACTTAAGTTCAAATATTTTAATAATGATATACTGTTGAGTTTTTAAAAATACGAGTAAATAAGGCTTCCACTTTTATTTAAAATTATCCTAAATTAAAAGGGATTTATGGGCAACAACGTTTTTGCCTACCGATCGACCCTTGCGAACTTAAAATCAGTTAAAATAATGCATTACCACGCATTTTGAATTTAAAAGATAAAAAGGACGGAAAGTGTGATTTTATTAAATTATTTTTTCTTCACCATTTGCCCATATTACTTTTTTTGAAGCTTCTCTGAATATTTGATCGGTTATTGCAAAATAACCCTGTATACAAAAATAATGTTCACAAGTGAATCTAAGAATCTTCTTATAAAACGTGCAATCCTGAGATAACAGTTTTTTAATTATAGTATACTGGTCAAGAACTGACGAATTTGTTACGACTTACAATTATTCGCTGTATATGAGTATACGGTTTCACATATAATCGTTGATAATCAACTTACTGCTTACATAAATTAAATAAGCATTTATTTGCTCTATGTCTACTTTTTTTTTAAAGTCGTTATTGCTACCCACTTTAAGAACTCCTTATAATCTATAACGACACTCACTTTTATAGACGAGCTTCACAATCTGCTTTTTAAAGTTATTTACTATAAAACACGTAATAATAATCTAATTTTTATAACAGAAAAATATAAGATTTGAATTACGGACGAAACAATAAGTTTGAGAATCGTCACAAAAGGGTAATAAGTACGCCATCTACTGACAAGACAATGGATCTATGTAGTAAAAGCTTACAGGCAAATTTTGTAATTTATTGAATACTAGAAAGAGTTTATGTAATACAAGCTGTAACAATAATTTTGTTATATAATGTCGGGGAAAAGTTTCTTCGTATTTTATATACAATTTCAAGACATTTTTTTCAAAGTTTTATTAGTTTTAATTATAATATATTATTTGTGCCATTTTGTTCGATAACTTGTTACCATCTTTGTCATATAATCCCGTTGCTGTAGAAATCTTGGGATTTTTGATCAAAAAATATGCTACAAGTAGATTTGTAAGTCCTCTCATGATGTTAACCTAACACTACCCAAAGAATTCTGAATGGTCCGAAACAGGTGAAAATCTGAGGGTGCAAGTTTAGGACTATATGGTGGATGCATTAACACTTCCCAACCGAGCTCTCTCAATTTTTGCTGAGTGGCCAAAAATGTGTGTGGTCTGGCGTTATCATGATGGAAGACCACTTCTTTTCTGTTGATCAATTCCGGCCGTTTTTTCTCAATTTCGTGCTTGAGTCTCATTAGTTGTTGGCAGTAGAGATCTGAACCGATGGCTTTGCCTGGCGGTAAAAAGCTCATAATAAACGATGCACTTAATTGCGTGTTTCGGGTTTGATCCGCGTTTCGCTGCAGTATGTAGAGCTTGACTACCTTTTGAGCACGATCTTTTTCGCACATTCCTGTCATAGGTGATCTACTTTTCATCACCAGTGATCAATCTATTCAAAAATGGTTCGGTTTCACTAAGTTTTAATAGAGAATCGAAAATTAGTAGAGAGTTTCTTTCAGTGAGCCCGTGTGGTACCCAAATATTGAGCTTTTTTGTATAGGCAGACTTCTTTAAGTGGTTCAAAACTGTTTTATGGTCAATTGTCAATTCCTCAGCTATATCGTAACTACTCATATGTCTTGTTCCACTTTTTCAAAAATAGCATCGATGGAGGGAGCTTCATCTTTGACATCAAAATTCCCCGGAGTGAAAATGCTTGAATCAACTTTGTGCTACTCTTACTGACATTGCAGTAGGTCCATAAATGTGACAAATTTTTTTCGTGGCTTGAGTCGCAATTTTCCCTTTTCAACCGACTTCAAAAAACGAGGAAGTTCTTAATTCGCCGGAATCTTTTTTATTTTTTAGGTACTTATATATGTTCACCGATTACTCGAAGATGCCTGAACCGATTTGGAAAAATTCCCAGGTGTTGCCATTAAATTTTGTCAAAATCGATCGAGCGGTTCTTAAAATTTCAATTATAAATTATTTTATTTATATTGAAGTCGGTTGTACTAAATTTTAATTTTTACCACTTTTAACCCGGCGTCATTGAGGTTGGGTCAAAATGACCTTGCGTGTTTTAAAATGCATATATCTTTGTTAGTACGCGTACGACGTTGCCGTTCTTCTCAGTAGCTGGCGTCAACGATATGTTCTATGCGTTTTTAAACAGAAATTGGTTTGGAGACAGCCGTGCTGGGAGCTACACGTGCATAATTCTCTAAAAGGTAAATATGACCCATCCTCACAATTGACGTAACAGTTTCGCGCCTCTTTTAGCTTTCGATTTTTTGTTAATACGTTTTTTTTTCACGGTAATAAATTGAGTTACTTTTGCGTTTTATTTTAATGTTTGTCATATACAATATTTCATTGTTTCTTTTAAGGTAACATAGATCGAGATAGTCAAAGCATTTTGTCAATTATTGAGGAATCTGACTCAGACAAAAACTTATAACGAGTACGCGGATGAAGAGGATCACGTGAATCTTTGTAGTCAGGCAAGCGATACGGAACGAGAAAGCTCAGAAATGATGACGATAATGTCCCGTTGAGTGAAATTAGAATGGAGTTGCTATCCAGTGCGTCTTCCCTGCAGCAAGAGCCAGAAACATCTTCACGGCGTGGGGTGCGTCTACAATATCTTGGTAAGGATGGAACAATTTGGTTTGAAACACCTTTTCGGCACAATGTTAGGACGAGAGCAGAAAATATAATCACACAGTTGCCAGGTGTGACACTAAAAGCTAAGTGCGCTACTTTTCAGTTTGGAGTAAATGTCGCCGATGATCTCTGCGCAACATATAACGTGAGCCATAATTTCAAGAGATGGCCCTGTACCATATTTTTTGCCATATTGAATATATCTAGGATTAATATACACCGAAATAATAATAATAAACCTAAAGAAAAGCGATGAAATTTCTTGAAAAGCTTGGGTCTTGCTCTAGTGAGCGATCACTTGAAAAAGCGCCAGAATTTGGATCGTTTTCCACGCATGATACGTAAAATAATTAAAAAAATTGTTGGTAAATCATCAGAAGAGCCTCCTGCAAAGATACCTATTGCTCGTAGAAGATATAAAGTGTGCCCTGCACAAAAAGACCGTAAAACAACGCATACTTGTCAAGGTTGCAACAAATATATTTGTCCCCAGCACATCGTATTTTTCTGCGGTGATTGTGTAAACAATGACGATTCAAATTAACTTTTTTACACTTATTTTCAAATAATTATTAGTAGGATATATTTTAAGTGTCATTTGTAACCAAAAAGACTGGTAATTTGTTAGTTAAGTGAGAAACTGTAAGGGATCTTAATTTTGTTAACGTTTTTTGAGTTTATGGAAAAGTTTAAACTTAGAATAAACATTCGATAACTATAAAGTTCATTCTTTTATTTCTAAGTTCAGAGTACAAATAAATCATATAGTAATATAGATTACCGAAAATTTCAATAAACACGGAAATATCACATTTTACATATACGGTTCATATTGACCCACCTCAACGTCCGTGTTACAATTTTCTACCACAATGACGCCGGGTTATACTTGTAATAAAGTTTTTAAGTTTTTATTTTTCTTATATAGAGATAAATATAAATATTGTTATTTTCATAATCAAGTATAAATAATTTACATATTTAAATATAATATTCTTAATTACATACTATGAAACAGTGCCATCTAGGTATAATGATTGGAATTTTGTCGCTTTATTGGAACTGGAATACACCATACGCTTTGGTGAAAATTGTCAGTACATTTTTGTTTGTGAAACTAAACAAAAAGTGAGAAACTTATTTTCCTATAGTATAGAAGGCTCTCTATTATTTCACGAAAATTTACGTTTCTTATATATTTATACTATTAATGAATGAAAATTAATCGTTAGAAAAGAAACGTTATTCGTAAAAAAGAAACAATGGCTCGCCAGTGAATGCGGCGATATTCCGCTAGATAGCGCTTTTCTACATTATCAGTTTTGCACGAATTGAAGTAACGCGACAATAACGAGGGCTCTCACTATATGTCGCTAGTTGATATTGAGGTGATTTTATTTATCACGGAAATGATCATAGTGTCATTTACATTGAAAAACTGCGCTTTATCTTAAAGCTTTTCGATTTGTAGTGAATGTATAATATACACAAAACAATGCCTCAGTGCTATGTTCTTTAATTTTTACACATTATTTAGGATTCCGTAGTTAACGAGTTTAGTGAAAACATATTTAAATGTATTAATTCGCTCCATGTACATCTCTTTTTAAAATTTTTTATTGCAAAGAGACAGAGCAGCTGCTAATAATTTATAACTACACTCATTTTTATGGATGAGTTTCGACGATTTTTATTTGATCGCAATCTGCTTTTAAAGTTATTTATTATGTATGACACGTAATAAAATAATTTTTATTAAAAATATTTAAGTTATGTAGGAAACAAAAAGGGGTTGTAGGATAATCAGTACGCCATCTACTGAAAAGACAAGAAATCTATGCGCGGGAATTTTGTTAGTAGCATCTTGCGGGAGTCTATGTAAATACAAGCTGTAAGACTATTTCGTATCTATAAATTAATTGTTATCTCCAAAATCAAGTATAATACATTGTATTAAATATTTATAATTTTCTAACATACTATGAGAAAGCGCCATCTAGCAGTAATGATTGGGATTTTGTCGCTTTACTGAATACTAA